AAACTGTCAGATCATAGAGCTACGATTTGTAGCTCTATGGTCAGATGAAGGAACAAGTAGGCCTAATGCGATGTTAATTTCTCAAATAATCGGGTACACAAGTACTGTGCATGCTTTCCAATACCTACAAAGTACCCAAGTGGATATGTCACGTGCACAATTAAGTGAGTAAAAGGCATAAGCACGAGAACCAGCACGTGAACCAACATGCACTTGTGTTCCATTTGTATGAACAACACTTGAGTCTTCCTGGTTCTACCGGTAAATGACGTCACACTTTGGTACACTATAGACAGTGCTACTCACACATTAACAGATGGAAGAAAGACTGTACCTCATTTTCATGCAGGCATTCCTAAGAAATAATAAAAGAGACTAGGAACTGACCACATATGTGACATTATTGAGGATGTCCCAGAGCTCCACTATTAACAAGGATCCCTGCATCTACAACTAGGATGTATTTCCAAAACTCCAAACCCCCAGCACAAATGAACTCTTATCAGAATTGGCAGAGAAGAAGAAAGAGTAACCCACATTCAAAATACACCCCAGAGAATTCCTGGGAGTAAGGGATAGCCAACTTGCTTGGTAGATTGACAAGAAACCAGAAACATTTCCTTGTAAGTGAAAACCAGGTCTGTTTTCATGGGCTTGATTCCATTGGTATCAGGTGGCAGAGAAAAACTATGTCGTAAATACAGCTACAGTGCCTTCATCACAACACACAAATCAATAGGACTGAATGTACACCTGCAAATACAAACTCAAATCAGCAAAAGTCCTTTTAATGTGCAAGCCCTGAGAGCAGATCAAAGCAGGGAGCTTGTTCCATATTTGTCTGGTCTCAACTGTTGATATAAGACGCCTTTCTCAGGGGACTCCTTCCAACTGTAGAGCTGGGGTCATAAGGTCACATTCTCCAGTCCATTGCAATATTACAGCCCCTTTGTGCCATGGCTGTCAATACAGCTGTCAGAGAACACCCGCCCGTAAATTAACAACTCAAAAAAGGGGAGAGCAGTGTCAATTTTAGTGTGTGTACTCATCAAATTTTTAATGCTGGCTGGTCTCTTGAAGGACTAGTCATTAAAATTTAGAATATGCATGCCAACAGTTTGAGACCTAACACAAAAATAGTCCAGGTTGTCTTTGCATTAAACAGCACAACAGTCTGCCTACAATAAACACAAAGTAGAGACCCAATGCGTGCTGAATTGTATGCCAAACTTACAATTTATTCCAGAGAGCATATTTCAGATAAAGTAATGCAACAGCATGCTGCGTCAACAAAAGGAAAGTGTATTTTTATAAAAAAAAAATACATCTTGAAAATGAGAAAGTGTATTTCAAGAGAAAGCAAGACTTGGCAGATGACAAATTAGTAACTTTTAAGAAATCTGCATCATGCAAGTACATGCATCCGGTGTGAGGCAATATATCTAAACTGTTAAGGTTGTCTTAAAAAGATGCATCTCCAAATGCCGTGACACTTTTTAGCTACATTGTACAAACATGGAAAACGACTAGGCACAGATGCACGAAATGAGACAGCAGGAAGTCCATTAGGCATTGATACAAATTCCAAAAAATAATAAAGAGAAGTCTCAAGTGCACAATTTGAATACATGGGCAAAAACTACAATTTTTAGCTCCCTCCGAACTCAACAAACATATAAAAATGACTTGTGGAGGAACTGGTACATATCCTCTCTGATGATTTGTTTTGTTATGCATGTATAATCTGTGAACTAAGAAATCACAAATCCACATTCTGACTGTTCCCTCTTTTCTTACAACAGGCTGCTTAATTTAAATATGAAGCAAAACTCATACTTGAGATAAGAACTCACTGTGCTAATATTTGTAATTAAATATTGGAATATAAGGTGCATGAGCCAATTGGTCTGGGACGGGTACACCAACCGTTGCTTAGAGATGAGATAAGAATCAAGAAAAATAGACTTTTTTCTGTCAATCAATGTCATTCTAATCATCGGAACAGTCCAATCTCCTATTAGATTCAAGTGGATAGTCACTAGGGCTGTGTTGATAATGGAGAGGCTGTTAATTGGACACAGCGGGCAGTCTTTGGCACTCAAGATCAGTTTCATATTAGACAGGTGCATCGGATGTCTTTCACATCTCCACATAGATCGATCATGTACTTTAGGAATTGGACCAAGATGGTGTCCAAATAAGGACTATATGGCAACAAATTTTACTTGAAACTGTCAATTACAAGAGTACAAGCCCAATTAAGTTTTAGCCTTAAAATCACATTTGTAAAATAGATACCACACCAATATCACCCATGCACATCAAAGGCACACACTGTAGGAAAAGGCCAAGATGAAAAACTAGTTTTTTTAATTGACTAATACTGAAACATTACAGCGTCTGTATCTTCACACAAATAACTGGACACAGATTGGAGGCACCGACAGTCCTTCTCACTAGTCTGTCCCCCTTTCCTTGCAATCTCCAGATTCATCAACATTCATTTAATTTACTTAGTCAACTGTGTTGAAATCAGTCGCAATCAATTACAATGGCAAGGAAGGATGTTGGTTGTCAGATGGGTATGGTCGATTGTGTCAAGATTGGATGAGACAGGTTGGCTGGATAGATAAAGACTAATTTGCTCAACCAATCAAAATCTCTGCTAAAAATAGCTCAAGCGACAGTCCAGACAGCTTTGAAAATGGTCAAATAAAGAGACAGTAAAATACATGACAGCTTGTTTGTAGAGATATTAGACTGGCCCAAGTTCAGTCTATTCATAGTATTCAATGTCATCAGCTATAAATCTAAAAACTGTCATCTAGCCAAATATGGTCTGCTTGCACAAGTTCATGCCCATAACAACTACATGTACCGTAACAGAACAATTCATAACTGTGTTCACCATCCCATGGGTTGTTGATGGAATTGTTGGGGTGCTTGTATGCATGTCATAAAAATACTTTTTTAAACTTTTATAACTTCCAGCAGTTGTCAAGAGAGTTAGACAGACAGATAAAATGAGTTTTGTCATCTTGTTGCAATGATGCGTCTATTTGCCTGGATCCAATGATACACATCACTTCATCTACACATGCTGTGGATTTTATCAGGCAATTTCTGTCATAGCTTTTTTTTCATTCGTTACAATCAACATTTTCTCTTGAATGATATCATCACTCGTCACCTTGGTGAGGTTTAATATTGCTTGTCATTCAGTACCATCATGTCTATTCCTTCCTTGTTAAATCAAACCCATGGACTGTTTTTCCAATACTAAATGTTTCTGTGTGATTACAAGCGTGACTGGGGCTGCAAAGGTGGTTAACAAGCTCCAGCCAAGTACATATTCATATTCCTCCATTCTGTGGAGCCAGCATTACATTGCTATGTACAGTCTGCCATACATCACTGCTGACATATGGAATAGCATTTGGTACTTTCCCCCTTATGATCCAGCTGAAGCCCTCTTGCATTTCACTCATTACAGTGTGACAGCCCTCTATACCTCACACTAATTAAACATTCTCGCACAAGCTACATTTATGGCCAAAGAAATTGCTTGATTGTTCTCCAAGTGTGAAAGGGGTAAAAGTCCATGTGCATAGCATATGAGTTCATGGAACCTGTATTAATACAGAGTGTAAATGAATGAATGAAATGTGAATTGAAGTTAATATGACAGAATATGAAAGGAAAATAATTCACCTTTCATCAAAACACTGAGTAATATAACTGACAGGTGGCCCAAAAAATTAAATTTTCAAATCCTGAGGGAAAAAACAAAAGAAAACTATTACTTCTATGTATTTTGTATATGTCTGTGACATCAATTGAAGAATTCTGGAATCTCAACTTCAACCATGTCTCTGCAGCCATATCTTGCTGGGTACTTTCTTGAATCCTCCAAAATGGCAGATGGATGATTTCTATGTATTTCAATTTTCAAGCGACATCAAGCCTCAAGGAAAATAAGTGTGACTTGGCAGAGCACACCCACCTCTGATGGAAAAATCCCATCAACTTTAATTTTGTTGGCTTCACTTTGCAGTTGGCTTGGGAACCAATCCAAACAAGACTTCTACAGTCTACCAATAATCTCACTTTCTTGCTGTGAAGTTACTTTATGGTTCCCGCAAACATAGCCAAGCATCATGGTAGTGACATTAATGTGTTCATTCCAATGTAACATCATCGTTTTATTGGTTTCAGTCAGCTTTAATGTTCATAACCGTGCTTTCTCCAACATGCCAGCAACTGACACCCACACTGTCGCCTGTAAATATCCAGTTAATTTATCGTCTTCGACTCAAAACCATCAATTATCCTTGGATGCCCTAACCTCTTTTCTCTTTATTTTTGCTAGACTGATGCCTCAAGCCGACAAGACCAATGTTGCCTTTATTAGCACTCCGACAGGAATAACATTACACAGTGGATTCTGATGTGATAACCCCATTACCATGGCAACGTGTCATGAATCACAGGTACCAGACTAACCTAGTGACAAGGTTTATAAACGGTACTGCTAGATATATTGCGTGCATTCAAATCATATGCACATGCCCTATTTTTTTCTTCACACGTAAATTTTTTGACTATAGGATTTTCCAATGTCTGTGTTTATTCATACAGTGAAGGTTAAGGACAAAGTCTGTGAATTTGTGAAGGAGAACTGCCAGTATTCTTTTACATAATCTGAGGGACCGTGGTTTGAATTTTGTGAATATTTAGAGATAAAATTTCATATTGAATGTTCCGAATGTAAATGTTGGCACCTTACTAACACTGCCATTGACCAAGCAAGGAATCTTGAGATCCCAGGAGGTACACTATCAATTCTGATGCCATTCTCTGCAATCACACATAGAGTGACACCTCAACTTATGTGGTACAATGGTTGGGGCTCAAGTGTTATCACAGGTTGGAAGGGGGCACCAACATTCGATTTTGGAATCTCTGACTGAACCTAGTTTTCCACAAATCTGAAAACTTACCAACAACTGTAAGAGTGTAGTTGAGGCTAACACTGCCAAATCCATTTGTTGCTCTGCAGATGTACTGCCCAGCATCCGCCATCTCCACGTTCTTAATTTTCAAGCCGGCTGATAAGACTTTGAATCGTTCCCACAGAGTGTTGATAGACTCACCATCCTTCTTCCACATCATTAATGGGGGTGGATTACCAACCACAGGACACAGAAGCTTGATTTTACTTCCAACTCGGGCTTTTTGGAATCCTACAATGGGTTGGTCCAAGCGTGGGGGTCCTGAGGATAGTTGGATATGAGAAAAAAACACTTTGACTTCAGAATATCACGAATGGCTGGTTTGAATAAGTCTGGAGTAGTAAAACTTTTTCAGATTGTTTTTAAAACTTACACTTTTCAGTTAATGTAAATCACCACTTTCCATGTTCAGTGAAAGTTGAGACCAAATTTTTACTTGAATTAGACAGCAACCCCCAAACCTCTGAATTTCTTATATCTGTGTCTACCCCCTCAAACCAAATCCTGACAAGTCCTGTATCGATCATCAAGACCCTGACACAACCATTCCAGACACCTCCTCAGGTAATTTACACAAGAGAAAGACTTGAGACTGACAGTACAATTTGATAGTCCTCCCTGAAACCAGGCCAAGTCTTCTCCTATCTCTCCCCACCTCGATACCGGAGAAAGCCTTCCCGACTATCTCCTATTGATCTGAGAGAGGCAGAGAGGCCCTTGGGGAACCGGTGAGAGAGGGGAACTGGTTAGAGAGGAGCGTCAATACAGTAATGGTTATAATGGGTAGAGAAGTGGACTGACTATGGATATGGAGCATGGAAAAACGGGGGCAACTTGTTGAGAATTATGCATCACTTGGCATGCTATAAATGCAACAAATTGCCTCAGTCCAACATCAGTGTACACTCCATGCAAAGAGAATGTTTTATTCAATACTACGCATTTCTTCTGATAAAATCAACGCCTTTGGAAGAGAAAGCAGTTTTTGTCTCCATAAAAACTGCAATAATGAGCTACGGCTAAGTATATGTTGCAGTTTGGAATATATCCAGAATTCAACTTTAGGCAGTATTACCCATTTTCATTAACTTAATTGTTAAATATATTATGAGCAATTTTGTTATCTTACAGGAATTACTCTGAATAACCTCTACAGGGTGTCCCAGAAAAAACCAAACCCTTTCCTCAGGGTTTGTTTTTTTCTGGGACACCCTCTCCATGTACTGTACTGGTTAATTCAAAATAATATTTAATAGCACAGTTAAACAGTACATCTTTGAGGAACCGAAAACAATTGTTTTCACACATGGAATTTTCCTCGCAGGTTTGGCAGAATTTAAGTGAATAATACATACTGTTCCATTTTGAATTAATGGAACTCAACGAGCCAGTTCATGAACTGAAGGGCCCATGATCACAAAGTTGGAAGATCCAACCAAGAATGGTGGGGGGGCCATAAATTATGAGTCATCACTATCTACATGTACATGTATTAGTCAGGCTGTCACGCAGAGAGCTAGGCTACCCCAAGGCTTACTCTCTAGCATGCCATACCACAGATTAATTTTTGATATTATTGAATAGCACCTGTACAGCCCTTGGGAAGTCGAACACACAGCCCACAGCATTTCTTTTTCTTTTCTTACAGGTTAAAGCTGATTCTCATGTGGGAAATACGTTTCTAGTCAGATTGGAAAGGATATAATTCAGTATTAATCAATGCAGAACAACAACAAAGGAAATGAAAGAGACAAATTGGCCCAGGCAGACTGGATGTTAGTGGATGCAGCACAGACAATTTGGAAAAGATTAATATTTCTCAGGGATGAACTCAACAGCCCCCTCCCCGACACATTTTGGGAGCTCGGAGCTGCTGCGATATAATAGATGAGTGTGATTGACAGACCTGGGATTCCAGACACTAATTAATGTGCTCCTGGTCAATTAACACCAGCAATAGACAGGTGGATTAGGGGCGTGGTTGTCATTTACTGGAGTGCTCCACCAGGCCTTGGAGCATGCCAACTTGCCTCAGGGCAAGTTCATTTTAATTAAGCTCCCTCAGGTGATTCCAAACTGTTTACTCGCCTGCAAATGATGAATAAATGATTCACTGAAGTCTCTGAAATGAGATTTATTATTGTAACCTGGTTATTGACTATATCTAAATGGGTTGAATTAGTGAAAATCAGGAATGTCAGTCAGTAGCAACAGGGAAAATTGAATTAAACCAACAGTGTGATATTACATTAGCCCCCAAACTCAGGGTAAACACTAAAAAACATTAACTGAAATGCAAAGTATTCGTAAATAATATTTTTGAAACTCACATGCTTGATCAAAAAAGGAATATCTGCAAAATGGATATCTTCAGTAATGTTTACAAATGGCTGTTGACTTTTTTCTCCACAATGCACTGTGAGCAACACGGTCTTGATATCCCAAAGGTTTTTTTTCTATGTACTGTGAAGAGCTGGCACTGGGAAAAAGTTTGGAAGAATATTCCAAATTCTACTGTGCAAATTTAATTGCACAAGGAATCTGCTCGTGAGATTTGGAAGCGTAGTTCTTCCCCCAAAAGTAAACTGAACTCTCATCCAAACTTCCAACACTTAAAGCCAGATGGTGCATGGACACTTTAGTCACTTTCGTCTGATAGATGAGTCTACTAACTCCATGGCAACCACTCAGTAGAGCCTCTGTCAGTTCATTTTAACCTGCCTGGCAGATCATGTCAGCGATTTGAAACAGTTGGCGATGGTTTTTGTCGACTTTCATGACAAAGTTCAAACAAAGTCCTTACCGGTGTCCTGGTTGCAGGATAAAAGCTAACACATCAATGTCATTTACAAATTTCACACATAATGCAGAATATTTACATTTACTGTCTACACACTGTACAATAGTGTAATTTTTTTTCTTTAGAACAGCCCCTTGGGCATATACAAAAAATGTAAGTGATGAAAAATAAACTTGTATCATCATCAATCATTTACCCAATTGCCAAAAAATAACATTAGTGTTTATGTCTGGACTGTTAACTTAATCTCCTTAAAGTTAATAGATTTCCCACAAAATGTAACACCTCTGTGTGAATCCATCAACATGTACATGTATGCATGACTTGAGCATCCTTCTTCATCAACTCCCCCTTCTATGACCTATAAATTACCTCATGACCCAGCAAACCCTGTGTCTTTTGCCACAATACACCCAGGTATAATTTGATTGGTCATTTATTAACTGCACTGACAAACTCAGTAAACAGTGTCAGAGCTATTGGCGCATAGGTCAGAAAATGTACTAGAAATATCCTGCCATAATCCAAATGGTATCGCTATGATTCACAGGAATTCATAGTAAACCACGTGTTAATAGTAAACAACCATATTTCTCAATTCCTATTGCGTGTTTGCACATACATTGTACAGCAGGTAGATATTTTTTTTTTCTCTCTCTCTCTTATCTTTCAGATTCTTGAACAAGCATATGTAATTAATTAATCAAGGACGATGAGTAAATTTTAAAAACTTGCTTTGAAATTTCACCATTCAGTACAATTCTACTTCAACTCAGAACATGACTGATGAGGGTTTTCTTCACTCCAAAAATCCTACATACAAATGCCAAGGAAAATGGTTAACATAAAAGAAATTTTGCTGCTTAATATCAGAAGAAGGTTGAATACAATTCCATAAACTGATTTGACCAGTCCAGGACAAAATCAATCAAATCCTATGTCTTCTATCTCCTTCCCATTGCTGGTTGTCATTTTCGGCCTTAAGAGCCATCAAACTCTGCATCTAATGCTCCCTTGGAGCAAGTAACACTGTCAAGAAACGACCTATGCTATGTCCTAATTGATTCCTCTCTGCCATCCTCAGGCTCTAGAGAACCAACCTGCTCTATCTTCTCCATCACGTCTGCTTTCTCTCCCCCTCGTTTGTCAAATGTGAATTCAATATCCCCACCAAGTACCAAGGAACAGTGCCTGTAGCTGATTAGGAGGCACATAATAACTCAAATTCTGGGACAACATCCTCAGACCTCTGTTTAAAGTTGCAGGGAAGAGAAATAAAGTGAGATAAAAAGAGACAGATGACAAAATAAGTATTTACATATACATGTATGCAAATGAATACCTTAAAACAGTTGTGACAAAGATATGTTTGTGGGGGGGGCTATCTTGTGGTACACACGATGATTAAATTTAATCTCAGTGAATTCAAGTTGTTACCCCTTTTCACCAATTTATTCAGTTAGGCACAAAGCCAAAAGATGCTTTTAAGGCTGAATCAATGATTGAGAACCACGGATGCTTACAACAAGAGGACCTTTTTCCTGTTGGTGATTTGTCTTGACTGGGCCGACAACTGCCCAACTCACACTGGTCAGTGAGCAAGACAGTCCATTCCCAACAAGGACATGTAAACTGATCAGAGTGCTTTTATGAAAACCATCCATCATCTTTCTTTTCTTCAGGCCAGTGTCAGTCCATTTCTCCATACAAACATCTTAATCACCACCGCAATCTTCCTTCTGCATCTCCATGGCAACCATTTCCCTAAAACATCCTGATTTGGGTACTAATTGCAAAATGAAGTGATCGATCACTTGTCACATTTTGGTCAAGAGATAATCCATCACACACAAATTTTATGCAGTGTCAGGATTTAGCCATCATCCAGGAGGAAGAAAACTTGCTTAAGATTTTCTCATCAATCAGACTCCATGAATTCCCACAAAAGGATTATTCCCAAGTTGTGCTGAAGAATTTGTTACTTTTCCTTTTTCTTTTATGAACGGGTGACCATTTATTTTGTTTTGTTTTTTTGTTTTTTTTAAATATCAACTTCTGTCAACAGAATACAGCTCAAAATAAAAAGTGGGTGGTTGTCTGGACTGATCCCTTTGGGGGACTTTGTAAAGCACTCACCATGGGAGTCAGGTGACATCTAAAAATGCCCCTGATTGGCCTCTCACTCAGCTCCATTGACCTGTGACCTAATGGCCATTGATCCTGAGTGCTATTCAATGCCAACAACTGAAATAAGCCAAAGTAACTGAATGTGTACAAACAATAAGAAAAATCCTCAAGAATTTGCATTTTTATTGTCACTGGCTTTTCATAACCTGTAGGCACAGTATACTCACACATTTAATATTCAGATTTCTTTAAAAAATTCATACATCTGGAATGATTAGTTCAATTCAATTTTTCAAATTTACTTCTGAAGAATTATGGAATGAGCTGGAGTGAG